TATTAATTTAAACTCCAATAGCTATTAATGTTATTTATTTTAACTTACTTCTGAAATCAACACGTAATCTGTGATAAAATAATAAATTTTATTATAAATCAAATGTTAAAAAGGTTGAATCCAATAATTTGTTAATAAAAGAAATTATTCTTAGGGTGCGTTTAGCTAACTCAATTATTTAATTATTATTTTTAATAATTTCATAAAAATAAATTAATGGTTGACAAAAAATGATTCCAAAATAAACGAAAATTCTTAATCTAAACTTTATTATAAATATTTCTATAAAATTTAAAAGATTAATTTAGCATTTTAACCTATAAATTTGCTTCAATAGAATTATCTTCCTAATTTTTGAATTTTCTATCGACCAATGTTATTTTCTCTCTTGTCCTATTCTTTTCTATAATTTAATAAAAAGATTAAAAATAAGACTTCTTATCAAACCACTTTCTATACGGACTATAATACAAATAATCAATTCTAATATAAACAACTTCCTTTATTAGGATTAAATTGTTAATTATTCATTTTTTTAGCTTAATATATTGAAACTCTTTCATCTTGAGGGGAAAATCAAAAAAAAATTAAAACAGTTGAAATTTCTTTAAGTTTTCATAATTATCTATTAAAAATAGATTTCTAAAATACTAAAAAATAAATAAGAAAATAATTAGACCCAACCAAAAAAAAAAAAAATTTACAATTATTCGGCATGATTTAGAAAAATATTTCTAGAATTGAATAAGCAAAAGAACTCTGAAACACAATAGTTTGAGTATAAATAATCAAATATTATTGTGAAAGAGCTTGTTATAGGAAAAAAGGTCAAAATAGCATGATTATTATCTTCTTGATAATACTTTAGAAACTCACATATTCAAAACTGGGGTTAAATAAAGGATTAATTTTTTTAATTATATTTTTATCAACTGTAAATTTGATTAAATATATTAATCTAAAATATTATTCGATATCAAAAGATATCATTATATTAATATTTAAATTTATGAGCATATTCAAGGTATCATCACTAAATAAATGAATAAGAATTTTGAATTACTTCAATGAAATATTCATATAAATTTATTCAAATATTCTTACTGTTTTTTATTCCATTTGCATTAATTAATGTAAATTTACTATGAAATTAACCTCCATTTGAGTTATAATTTAATCTCTGTGAAAAGATTTTTGTTATAAATACAAATCTAGGATTAGATAAATTAAAAACAAGGAATAGGTAAATTTTATTGATCCTATTTGAATAATCGGTAGAATTAATTAATGATTCTTATTGATTAAAAATAGATATTGTTTTAATAATGAAATACAATTCCAAAAGTATTTTATAAATTATACGTAGATCTATTAGAGAATACTAATAGCTTCAGATTACTATTTAATATTCATATCAATATTAAATTAATCATCTTGCTTTTATTGAGATTATAAAAGTTTTTTTCAGATAAGCAAAACAATTACATCAAGACGTTAACTTTTCAGGAATCAAATTTATTAAAAATAACTAAATTCTCTTTTAAATTCCCTCTTGATTACTTTGAAATTCGTCATCAAATTCTGACATGATTAGCATTGTCTCTCTAAAAGACAGTGGGATGGATTAACAAATCTGAAAGACAAAGAACTGTCACATAACAATATGGAAACAAAGAAAATTTTTCTGGTTAATCTTGAGTCAATTTAATATAATCAGATTATAATTGAATTAATAGAAATACATATTTTAATGTTAATTTGTTAACGAAAATCTGATTTTATAACTATTACTGTTACCAAAATATAACTAGAAATGATTATGGATCTATTTTTGTTTTCTCCTTATTAAAAATTTAATAATCCTGGCTTTGTACTGGTTCTATTCC